CCAGGCCTAACGAGGGGCCCAGCGCTAACGAGGACTCCGTGGCCAATGAGGGCTCTGTGGGTAACGAGGGGCCCAGGCCTAACGAGGACACCCCGGTTAACGAAGGCTCCGTGGCCACTGGAGGCCCCAGGGAGGCCAAGGTCAACCCAGGCCTTGTGGCCCCTCTGGCCTTGGAGGTCCTCCAGGACTCTATGGTCACCCAGGACTCTATGGTCATCCAGGACCCCAAGGTCCTCCAAGACCCCAAGGTCCTCCAGGACTCTATGGTCACCCAGGACTTTATGGTCATCCAGGACCCCATGGTCAACCAAAGCCCCATGGTCCTCCAGGACTCTGTGGTCATCCAGGACTCTATGGTCATCCAGGACTCCGTGGTCATCCAGGACCCCAAGGTCCTCCAAGACTCTGTGGTCATCCAGGACTCCGTGGTCATCCAGGACTCTATGGTCCCCCAAAGCCCCATGGTCCTCCAAGACTCTGTGGTCATCCAGGACTCCATGGGCATCCAGGACTCTATGGTCCCCCAGGACCCCAAGGTCCTCCAAGACCCCAAGGACTGCCTAGAGACCAGCGCCAACCCAGACTCTATGGTCAGCCAGGCCTCTGTGCCTCTTCTAGCCACGAAGGTCCTCCATGACTCTATGGCCAACCCAGACCCCATGGTCCTCCGAGACCCCGCGGTCATCCAAGGGTCCAAGGGCTGTCTAGAAACTGAGGTCAACCAGGACTCTATGGTCAACCAAGGCCCCATGGACGCTCTGGCCTTGAGGGCCCAACAAGACTCTATGGTCAACCAGGACCCCATGGGGGCCAACCAAGCACCTATGGCCCCTCTAGCCATGAAGGTCCGCCAAGACTCTATGGCCAACCAGTGTCCTATGGCCAATGGAGGCCCCGTGGCCGCTCTAGGGCCCAAAGTCCACCAAGACTCTATGGTCAATGGAGGCCCCATGGCCAAGCAAGACTCTATGGCCCCTCTATCCATGAAGGTCCACCAAGACTCTATGGTCACCCAACGCCCCATGGCCAATGGAGGCCCCGTGGCCGCTCTAGGGCCCAAAGTCCACCAAGACTCTATGGTCACCCAACGCCCCATGGCCAATGGAGGCCCCGTGGCCGCTCTAGGGCCCAAAGTCCACCAAGACTCTATGGTCACCCAGCGCCCCGTGACCAACCAAGTCTCTACGGCCCCTCTATCCATGCAGGTCCACCAAGACTCTATGGTCAACGGAGGCCCCATGGCCAACCGCGCCCCCACGGC